TTAAAACATGTGGTAGAAAAATATTTTTATTTTATAATTCATACATTATAAAATATTTTCTATTGATCAAAACAGTTATTTTACTTTACAATTTGGATTATGTAATCTACAAAATATATACCAATATAATTCTGTACTGCCAACAGCTCGTTCTCGCTCAAATAACTTTTGTTGTTCAAAAAAATCATTTCTGTATCCTATAGAGTTTATTATTATATTCCTATATTTAATGTATCTTAATGTCTTTCAAATATATTATTTCATATGTTTATATCCACAACATTTTCAATACAAGATATTGATAAGAATTATTTATATTATAGGTATCATGTAAATACGCCTATATCTATTAAAATACTTTAAACTATAGAAAATCTATATATAAAAAAATATATTAATAACATAAAAGAGAGAAAGAGAGAGGAGAGAATATGATAACTAAATCTTAATAAATTATGCATTCATGTTTATATAATCAATTGAGAATTTATATTACAAGAATGAAATTTTTTGTTTCAACATTTGTTATAAGTATCATGATAAATTTTGGTTTTTGTATTTCGAAAACATTAATATCAAAGTTTTATGTAAAACAGACAAGATTATTTGCATGTTTGGGCGAAGATACGGGCTGTTTTTTTTTTGTGGATGTAAATGTTTAAATATTAAATTTTGTTTTAAAATGTTATTACATAAAGATATGTGGTCTAGTTTGCAGTATTCATGAATTCAAATTCACGTATTACAAAAGCGTTTATTTTATTTACATAAATATAAGGAAATAAAGCTAAAATTACAACACTAATTTAGAACTATGAACTATGAACGTTTATAGAAATTACAGATTTATTATGTCAATGCTTTGTATTTCTTAAGTATTTCTTAAAATCCAGACCACAAGTTTAAACATACGAAACGAATTTATTGTGTTCAATGAGATATTTATTTTTGATTTATATATGTGTGTGTGTGTGTGTGTGTGTGTGTGTTGCGCGCGCGCGCGCGCGCGTGCACACACACA